CATGAGACAGTATTTATTTTAAAGATTTGTTTCTTTTAATTAATCCCCTCTCAGCCCATATTTCTCAAAGATATATATCATACCGAATGTATAGTCATAATCAATGCACATTGTTCCCCCCTTTCCAGTCTGAGTGCAAACAGCTCAAAAGTTTGATCGGTTGCTAGGCAATCTCTCCAAGTTAATAATCCTTAACTTAAATGCAGCCACCACTGAACACCCATGTCTTTTCCCTGTGTCATCCTGGAGGAACCATCCACAAATACCTTAACTCTGTCCTGAGACTCTGGCCTTAATCTGCCAGCTATTGTTCATTCCAGGGAGAACTTCAAGGGCAGTTTCTTTGTTCACTTTGGAAAAGAAATGAAACTTCTCCAAAGAGGATAAGAAAATGCAGGAGCTGTAACTAAGGTCTGCCCTAAGTCCTCTCTTGTCTGGAATTTCCTTAATGTCCAACTTACAGGGTTAGACTCTTCCTTTGAAAGAGTAGCGTTTCCTAAAGTCATAGGATTGGATTCACTCAAGCAGTCTTAGAAATTCCTGAAGTTCCCTCTTAGTTCCATAGCCACAGCACTTCTGAGTGGACTATAGAAACCACACAACACACCACACAAAGACCCAGAACAGAGAACACAGACCTCTTGGAAATTTGCAACAATAAACACTAAGACAATACATGCCATGGTAGAGTAGCACCCATATTTCAGCCCTGAATAGGTAGATACACCTGAGGAAGATGCCAACAACATTTAGAACCTCTACTAAGGACAGGCTGTTAAGAAAGAAATGATAGAGAACTCAACCATACATTAGCATGCTGAATTTAACGTTTCCCAATGGACACACAGGGAAATGTCCAAAGGAACCTCCTTAGCCCCACTTTTGTTTCCCTAGGCCTAGAATTCTATTCCCATTTTAGGCACGTTTCCATGCCTAGGCTTTCCTGTGCACTTAGCCCCCTTATTGGAGATTTCCTGTGCACCCCTGTTGTACTTATCCCCCCTCCTCCACCCACAGGGGAGGTTTCTTGTACAGCTAGTCCCTGGAGATGTCTCACAACCTAGATGCTCAATCTCCCTGTCACCAAGAAATACTTTGCCATCGATGGTGGTGGCATTTGTTGTCTGAGTTTGTGGATGAAATTGCTATGTTGCTGTGGTACTCGCTGGAGCTCCCTTTCCCCATGTTGCTGAAAGATTTCAGGCCTCTGATGGATTTCCAATCCAAGAGCATCAATCGCCCAATACCCCAGGGCCTCTGCAACAAGGCAGAGGGAGGCGTCTCCCTTGGGAAAAGGGCTTCCAGGCTCCTTTCACAGATGGAAAGACCCCAGGTGAGCCTCCAAATTGTTATAACTATGCACTCCAAGAACCACTGGAGTCACAATAAACATGAAAATAAAGAATTGTCTCAGCAAAAGTGACTTCTGCAGAAGAATGGGTTCTCAGCCAGAAATCTGTCCAGCAAGCACCAACACAGTAGTTTTATTTCCAGACAACACTTGGGTATCCACTCCTTCCCTAGCAGGATAGTGTGGCTTTCACCATTGGGCAGTGGTCTTGCTCCCATACTCCAGAGGCATCAGTGAACCTTTCTTTGTGTTTTGGGGTCACACTGAGCCCCCCTCTCCTACTACAAAACCTCTTCACTGTGGCTGTCCTTCTCCATGGTGCCGGACACGTAGGGGAGGTAGAATGTGGTTGCGAGTGAGGGCTGAGCTGATGGTGTGGTGGTGGTCATGCCTTAGGCCCACTTGAGTGGCTTATTCTTTTTACTGATTGGCTGTTGAGTCAAGGACTCAAAACCTGGAGGGCACAAACTCGGTTGTTTTCAATGGTGCCAGTGTCATAATTACGTCAGACAGCCGATGTTATGTGCACATTAGCCTCAAACACTATAAAAAGGAACAATGGAACTTAAGAGCTCACATCCCCATTGGCCTTTGTCTCCTAAAGAGATTGTCCGCACACAAAGTGCATATGGTCGTTTTCGCTGGCCCTCCCTTCTCCTGAGCCTTTCCTGTGACTCTTCCCCCTGCGCTTGTGCTTACAGGTGAGTCAGTCCAAGGAGCACCAGCAGTTCATCGCCTTCCTGCAGAGGCTTCTTGGGCCCCTGCTGGAGGCCTACAGCTCTGCCGCCACCTTCATCCACAACTTCAGCGGTCCTGTCGCCGAGCCCGAGTACCTGCAGAAACTGCACAAGTTCCTCATAACCAGGACAGAACGGAATATCGCTGTGTATGGTATGTCAAATCAGTGTTTCTTTTATAAATCCACTGGTATTTGTAGAAAATTGGAGGAAATGCAAACTTATTCTGACCTCTGCCTTGGTATGCTACGTGAATTAAATGATACACTTACGCACTCTTATGTCTGTCCTTCTTTACCCCGCACTGTCTGTGAGATTCATACATGTTGTGTGCACTTTCGTTTTTTTCTGTTGCTGTGTAGTGTTGCACATTTTATTCCTTCTGCTGGTGGTGGCTGCTTGGGGTTGTTGCAGTTTAGGGCACTGCAAGGTATGACTCCACACGTTTGTGTGTGTGTGCTTGGACACCCATGCTCATGTGGATATCATTCCTGAGGAGAATCAGGATCAGAGTCAGCAGGGATATGCAGATATCCACCCCATTGTTTACTTTACACACGAGAAAACTGTCCAGTCCTGGCTAGTTAGTGCACAGGTTCAGGTTTACAATTCTTTTTTACTGGGGCTTCACCTCAGGGCCTTGTGCTCTCACTTAGCTTTGGCACTCAAGGCTAGTGCTCTACCACTTGAGCCATACTACTTTTTGTTTTGTTTTGTTTTGTGTGTGTGTATGTGTGTTTGTGTGTGTGTGTGTATGTGTGTGTGTGTGACAATATTGGAGCTTGAATGGAGGGCCTTGGCACTGTCCCTTAGTGTTTTTAATCAAGGCTGGTGCTCTACCACTTGAGCTCCAGCTTCATTTCCAGCCTTTTTAGTGATTAATTGGAGATTTTTGAACCTTGTTTCAAATGCTAGTCCTCAGTTCTTAGACTCACAAGCAGACTCTAGCTAGGATTACAGGTGTGAGCCACTCGCAGGTTCACAGTCTTATTTGCTGCCTTCTAGACCTGGGTCACAGGTGTGAGAATCCCTGGGCATCCCCAGGGAGTTTAAAGGAAGTTTCACATATTTCCTTGTTTGAGTCTCACAACCCTTGCAGGGTGGATGCTTTGGGTATTGCTCTTTCCCTTCCTCTTCTCCCTCCATCTCCCCTTCCTCCCCCCCCCCCCCCCCATTCTCCCTGTTTTCCCTTAGTAAATGACAAGGCAACACAACATTTGAGAGAGAGCTACCCAGTAGTCAGCCACAGAAGTGGAGCTTGCCACCATCTTGCTTACACCTCACCCAGACTTGTGGCCTGGGCCTCGGCATTAACAAGGCTTTGTTTCTCTGCAGCCGAGAGCGCCACGTATTGTCTTGTGAAGAATGCTGTGAAAATGTTTAAGGATATCGGGGTAGGTATCCAGTACTTACGACACACAAGTAAGCGCTAGTTTTGTTCTCTTTAGATCCAGTCTACTTGTGCTGCCATTGATTGCGGTGGGGTGGAACCCAGGGAAGTGCTTTTCCTGGGTTAAGTGGGAGAGTGTGTCTAGGAATGAAGGTCGGGGTGGGGTTTGTGGGGGATGAGGCCAATCAGTGCAGGTTTATTTCAGTAGCCTGAGCACTGGCTCTCATTCCTGCCCCAGCGGCGTCTGTGTGGCAGGTGTCCGTGCATCTCAGAATACCTCTGCACGTGGTATTCCGGAGATTCCTTGCCCTTGTCTTGTGTTTTTGCTAGTATTGTCCTCAGGGATCCTTTGCCCTCACCTGTCATGCAGGCCATGTGCTCTACAGAGCTACTGTGACCTTTGATTTAGGGGCTGGTACTGGGCCTTGAACTCAGAGCCTTCAGCTCTCTTGGCTTTTTTGCTCAAGGCTGGCACTTGCGCCATACCTGCACTTCCTCCAGTGACCTTTGGAAAGGGACCGGGGTGGGAGGCGCTTTGTTCTAACATCAATTCTGAACCTTAATGAAGTGATTTCAGTCAAGACCACCTCCCCTACAACCCCCACTTCACGCTCACTTGCCTCCCCGTCCACGCTTGCACTTGGGTATGCCTTCACTGCCTTGTACGTCAAGGGTTGATGACAAAATAAAGTCCCCCCCTCCTCTTTTTTCTCCTTTAATTTACTTTGAACTTTCTCTTCAGGTGTTCAAAGAAACCAAGCAAAAGAAAGTATCTGTTTTAGAACTGAGCAGCACTTTCCTACCTCAGTGCAACCGGCAAAAACTTCTAGAATATATTCTGAGTTTTGTGGTGCTGTAGGTAATTTGTGGCACCTCTTACGGATGAAGGGCTGGAGATGAGTGCCGTGTAGGCTCCTGCGCAGTCTGAGAGTGGCAGTGCCACGGCAGGCCTGCCCCGCCCCGCCCCGCCCCGCCCCGCCCCGCCCTGAGGGGCCTCCTGGAAGAAAAGTGCCTTCTGCCCTCGGGACCTGTGCTCTTCCCAACTCCAATGCAGTGGCCTGCACATGACCTTCAGGGCCTCAGCCCCCCCTTCGCAGCTCGTAATCAGTAGATTGCTAGATGAAGCCTCAATAAATTATTTTGGAGTTGATTAAAGATTCACCTTTTAAGTACAACTTTTAAGGACTAATTACTGTGATGGACACCAATGCATAGTTGTCTTGGAGATCTGACTCTTGTGAATTACACATCATGCTGTTTTCTGATTCACAATTAATGCTTCCTTGAAGAACATTGGGCCATTCCTCCACTTCCTTTTTTTTTTTTTGGTCAGTCATAGGGTTTGAACTCTGGGCCTGGGTGCTGTCCCTCAGCTCTTCAGCTCAAGGCTAGCGCTCTACCACGTGAGCCACAGCGCCACTTCTGGTTTTCTGGTGGTTAATTGGAGATAAGAGTTTCACGGACTTTGCTGCCGGGGCTGGCTTTGAACCGTGCTCCTCAGATCTCAGCCTCCTGAGTAGCTAGGATTACAGGCGTGAGCCACCAGCGCCCAGCCCCTCCACTTCTTTTTAGTTCTAGCTTCGTCCATGGTAGCTAGATTGTACCTTGGGAGCCCCCTTCATCCCCTCAGCAAATGAGCTGAAATACAACATACCCAGGCATTACCCAGGTATTGCTATGCTGCCCCTTGTGGCCAGATGTAGAAAATGTTTCAGTTGTTGACAAAAAAAAGATAGTATTCATTTAGGTTAAGGAGTTGAGATGTTGTGCTTAGACAGGGAATTCTGCCTGGTAGAATTCAAGGTGGACACGCCAGAAAACTGGTACCAAATGATTTTGCTCATATGATAAAGTGCCATTGAGTTCAATGACCAGCAAGTGTTTAGACATGACTCCTGTTTTATAGCTGGACTTTTTCCCACCTCTCAGTTGGAAAGGTTCCGCCTCCCATGGGCACAGCTGTTTTCTAGGCAGTGACTGTACTCAGTCGATTAGCTCAGCTGGACAGACTGTTATTGTGGTCTAGCTGCAGACCACTGACTGACTCATGTACTGCACACACTGTATGCTGCATCCTGGTCCGGGTGCCTGCTGCTCACAGGAGTTCTGCAGTGTATGTGCTGATGCCGCTGAGTGGTAAATGTTTGGAGACATTTATAGATGTTTAGCTCTGAGGAAAAGAAAAAAATAACCTTTTTATCTCTTCAGAAATCTATGTGCTATATGCCCACCCCAATGACACAGAGGCAAGTAATTGTGAAAATTTGTCTGTTTATGAGTAGGTACTTTTTGTGTGTGTGAGCAGGGAGTCTAATCGTTTGTTCCTTGTGGTGATTATGGTGATTTCTTAACCTTCATGTAATGTTACAGTTTTTTCTAACAATTTATTGTCCTATCTACCCAATAGTGTGGAACCAGAAAGCATTTTTTTTTCCTGGCCCCATGTTGCATAGATTCTTCGAATTTAGTATCAAAGTGTTGAGGATAGAATTAGTACTGTCCTGGGCTTGGATTTTAAACACTAGCCGTGTGCCATGCCAGAGGGGCGAGCGTCTGGAGCTGGGGATTGGCCTTTCGCCATCGGAGGTGCCCTGTGGGAGCCCTGCCGCCATGCTTCCCTGGGCTTCTCCGAGTTGGCTTGGGAAATGCATGTTTTCTAGACTGTTGTTGGAGCTCTGGTCCCAGTCACCAGGGTCAGAGGCAGTGGCTCTGGTGTGGAGTGGCGGTCACCACTAAACCTTCCTTTTCACTAACTGGGGTAGTGTACCTCACGCCTCTCTGCACTGCTCCTGGGCACATCCGGGCATCTGCTCTGCCCCTGCCTGCATTCCTTATCTGGGCAGTCAGACACTCCGCTCCCCCCCCCTCAGTCTGTCTCTCTCTCTGTCTCTGTCTCTCTCTGTCTCGCTGTCTCTCTCTCTCTGTGTCTGTCTGTCTGTCTCTCTCTCTCTCTTCCCATACTCCAAGTTGTATACTAAGAATCACTCTGTTAATCGGCTGGAAGTTCAGCGTTGAGACTGACTCCCCCTGGGTCTCACTGCCCGCAGATCGCAGCTGTCTTGCCAACCCAAGCTTTGTTTTCCTTTTTGGTTCCTCTGTTTTTGAGAAGTTCAATCCGATGCTTTGGGGAATGTACTCTGCTTGCTCTTTTGCCACTTGACTCACTGTGAGGATAAATATGCATGCTTTTTTTTTTTGTAATTAACTGGTGCTTTGAAAACCTTTTTTAAGGAAGAAAATAAATTTCAACCAAAGTTGTGTTCATCTAGATAAGCGGATCCTTGAGTTAAGTTTTGCACAACTCATCCTTCAGTGCCTCATTACTGAATACTAAATCATCACAATAAAGCTTCTAGGTAGCACTGTTTTGCTAATAGATGCATCCTGGTTGTTTTTTAACAGCAGGTAGCTTTTTCATAAGGTTAACCCAACTAGGTGCTTGTAAATACTTTGTTACAGTTTACTCTCCTGCATTTCTGCAAAAGGGAAATGCATGTCCTTCAGGGGAAGACTGTGAGCAAAGTGAAAAACAATAAAAAATTAAAAACCTAGTAATAAGCAATATGAAATCTCACTTTGCTTTTTCAAGTGAGAATTCCTAAGTAATTCAGAAAGGAAGAAGGAATTTTTACTCTTTAAAATGTTAAGAAAAACAAAGTAAAATAAAAAATGAGAACAGAGAGAGCACAATGTCTTTTTTCATAAAGGTGTTATATCGTATCCAGTCAAGGGAATGGGAAGAGAAAATACCCAGATGGCTATGAGTAGAAGCTCAGGCCGGGGCTTCCTGTGCCCTGGCGGGGAGGGCATTTCCTCACATGCACCAGGCTTTCAGAGAAAGCTCTACTCAGAAACGCCTGGAAGCAAAGTCCACCTCAGCGAAGTAAGGGCTCCGCAAAGCCCAGTTAACCTAGCGTTTCCCAAACTATTGACCTCAGGAACTTTTCCCTCTCTGGGACACCTCTGAACCTACTCACTTAGTATCTCATGGAAACATTTTGGGAAATTCTTCCTTAGGTGGTTCTTTAGTCAAAACAGTAATGAGTAGAAGGCACTGTGGTAGGATTTGTGTGTGTGTGTGTTTGACCCATCAGATGGCTCACTGGATGGACCGCACGTTTCTTCCGTGGGAAGGAGAGGCACTGAAGGTGTAGTACAGGTGGTGCAGGTGGCAAGAATCCCTTCCTTTGATGGAAAGACTGGCCACCCATCAGCCTGGCTTTTAAAAACATGTTTACCCAAAGCAGAATTAATTGGAGTTAAATAATAGAGATTTTTATTCCCATCTAGAAGAAAACGTTGCACAATTGAATACAGATTTTTATCCGTAGGTAGATCTAGAGTTTTGAAATGATAGGACCTGTCTTTGAAATTTATAAGACTTACTGTGGGATGTCAACCTTTTTTTTTTTTTTTAAGATAGTTGAGAGTTGCCATCTGGCATTTCAGTTTAATAGACTAATGATCACTTCGAAAGAGACTCTTGACCTTACTTCTAAACAGCAAAAGGGCTAAATGTTTTGATGGGAGGTGTTGAAGTATTTGCATGTTGTAAAGAGAAATGTTAGATTGTTGTAAAAAGAATTATTATAAAGTATTGTGAAATAACACTATGTGATTTTTGTGAATGAATTTTCCTTGGGAATGTTGATTTTTATGCCTGATAATGTATTGTGAGAAGCACAGACATGTAGTTTTGTTTTAATAAACCAAAAAATGAAACTATTCTTGATGTCTTGGATGTGTTGTTAAAAGTACCCTACATAATTTATTATACAGTTCTTGTTTGATTTTTACATAGCATCTTATGACTATGTATAAAAATAACCTGATACAAACAGGTATGTACAGTTTATTTTGTTGGTTCATATCTTTCAAGTTTGCTGAAGCATTTGGAGATAGAAATTCCTCCTTTTACTTAGTATTTACTTAGTGCTTACTAATATTTACTTAGTATTTACAAAGGAAATGTTCTTTGCATTTCTAAAGATTCCTCTAAGCCTGGTGCTTCTCTGTCATTGTTTTATTTATTATTTGTGCTGTTACTGGTGCTTGAACACAGGGTCTTGAACTCTTGCTTGCCTCTTTTTACTCAGGACTGGTGCTCTACCACTTGAACCACAGCTCCACTTCTGGTTCTTTACTAATTGGAGATCACAGACTTCTCCACCTATGCTGGCTTTGAACCACTATCCTCAGATCTCAGCCTCCTCAGTAGGTAGGATTACAGCTGTGAGCCACCTGGTGTCTGGCTTTTTGTTTTGTTTTGTTTTTGATGGCACTGGAGATTGAATTGAGGGCCTTATACTTGCTAGGTTGGTGCTCTACCACTTGAACCATGCCTCCAGCCAAGCTTCTCTGTCATGGATTTATATATTTAAGTTTATAAAGACTGTATTTAAGTTTATAAAGATACTGGCCAATGCATGGCGAGAGAGGCCAAGTCTCAGGCAGCGTTTTGCCTTAGGTCGCAGGGAGGATGGAAGTGTGGGGCTTTGCCATGGCTCACTAGCGCTGAGCTTTGGGAGGGCTGAGCGGGAGGAGAGATTCAAAGCTGCCAAATGTCTGCAACATGTTACCATTGAGTGTACGTGTGCTTCCAACCAGTGCTGACTCTCAAGAAATGATCAGCAAGATCATGTTTTACTGTCCTGTGTGCCAGGCACCAGCTGAATTGCTAGAAAACAGTGTCAGCAAATTACTCAGTTGGTGTGGCCCGTTTCCACCTTGATTTTCAGCACAGATTGTTTCAAAGACTCAGGAAAGGCCTTCAGCACCTGCGTCCATGTCTGGAAGGGGAGACAGGTGCGTTGGAAGGGAGTCGGGAGATGGCACTTCATTGGGCGGTGGAGGGCCGGACCCAGGCTTCCGCTGGGCTCCTTTGTTGGTCTCCCTGTGTCCTCCGGGTTGGAAAACATCCTTGTGTCTTGCCGCAGATGGAAGAGGCCTCGGCTGCTCCCTTCTTCCTCCCACACTGTGCTCTGACATGTTAATGTCTGTGCAGTCAGGAGATACCCTTCCTCTCCAAGCCCAAGTGAACCTCTACTAAACCTGTAGCCCTGGGACAGCAACACAGAGACGAAGACAGAGGGGAGAGAAGGGAGAGAGGAGGAGAGAGAGAATCTTCTAGTATTTCTAATGACTGGGAATGAGATATGAACGCTGCCCTGGCTGCTTTGCTAGTTCCAGAAAGAACCACCGCTGTACTGAGATATTACAGAGATCTCTAATCTGGAATATAATAGGGACACCCAGAAGGAATGAGCAGTGCAGGACGCCTTTGGCCCCAGCGAACCTTATCGCTGCCCGGGTCCGGCTCTGGCTCTGGCTTTCCCTGGGAGCCTTGGCTTCTCTCTCGCTGCTGCCCAGTCCAGCTGTGCAGGGCGCGGCCGCGCGCGCTTTCCCGATCTGTCCACGAGGTGGCGCCGGGACTTCATCAAAGGGCTCTGGATCAGACCTGGGCGGGAAAGGGATGGCCTTGGTCCTGGGGTGGACGCTTCCAGGGATGCCCCCTGGCAGCGCGGCTTCTCACCTCCAGACAGACGGTTCCTTCGGGGAAGGAACGGTCCAGAAATGGGGAAGAGGGCTGCGGCACAAAGGGCAGCTCAGCTCCTGCCACAGGACCTGCTTGTTGCCTATCCTGGGAAGGCTTCTAGCAGCCACCGCGTGGGGGTGGGGAGGGGGAGAGAGCGCCTCCCACGTCACCCGGACATGTGTCTTTGGGGTCCACTGGCCACGGGCACCCCCAGGCCACACGCTGACTTCCCCCAGACCAGGCTGCCCTTTGATCGCACCCAGACAGATCTGTGCAAAGTTGAACTCATTCTGTAAGATGAAGCCGACACAGCACCCTGGGGAAGGCCTTGCTAAGGCTGCAGCTTCTTGCCTGGCATCTACGGGAAGAGGAGGGGGTACGCCGAGGAGGGGCGGTGCGGGGGGCAGGGGGACCCGGATGGAGGTGAGGCTCCCGCATTTGGGTGGTTTTGCTCTGGGCTGGCCCGGGTCTGGTCTGGGACCTTCCAAAAGGAAGAGAGAGCCTCAGTCAACTCCCCGCGGCCTGTGATGACCACGGCATCCACCAGGGGGCGCCAGCAGCCTTCTCTGGGGCACTGAGTCCTGGGGCCAGGCTTCAGAGAGTGAGAGGTGCAGAGAGCAGGAGGCTCAGGAACTCAGAAATACCACCGGCCTGCAATCCGCGGGAACCCCTTCCCAGAGAGCTGTGAGGTGGGTGAGCCCCGGGGAGAGGCCTCTGGCCTGGGGCAGGGAGGGGTGGGGGCACTGGGGAGGATTCATCCAGTGTCCACTGAGAAATCACCAAGGACCCCAGGCCTGGCCAGAACACCAGCCCCCATGAGGCTGGAGCTGCCACGCTCCGCAGCCCTGCTAAGCCGAGAGGAGCCAGGGGCCCCCGCTGCACGCCCCTCCTCTGTGACCCTCTGTCCAGATGCTGGCCTTTCCTGAGACAGCCTGGGACCCAGGGATGCTGAGTGATGGGTGCAGCAGAAATTGTGGCAGGGTTTGACTTTGGCTTCCAACACCTCCTCTTGGAACATGGCTAGCCTGGGCTCAGGGCTGCACCAGAATCATGTGTGTGTGTGTGTGTGTGTCCAGCCTTACTACCATGAGCCATACACCTGCTGGACTCCCTCTATGGAACCACACTGCCCAGACTGTGTTTTTCTCTCCTGGCAGATACAGTTTCTATTCCTGCAGCTTCACTTGCTGGACTCCAGCGGCCATGTCTCCTGCCTGGAATAATCCCT